TACCTGATCGTGGAGTGAGGTCCTCTACTTATGAGTGGTAGTCCCGCTAATCTCGCGACGGTTACACCCGGTAATCTCGGGACCGTCGGTTACACCCGGTAATCTCGGGACCGACGGTTACACCCGATAATCACGCCGCTGACAGTAGCTCACATCGGCCCCTACCGAGCTTCCCGGTAGGTCGGACCTCGGCCAGGTTCACCTCGGCCCTCATACTTAGCATCTGTCAACGCTAGTGGTGGTGATCTCGGCGGTCCGAGCTGGGCATGACTCATGAGTCATCTTGGAGCACCAATAGGGGTCCTCCACGTGTCCAGGATATTCTCTTCCCCAAACAAGTATAATGCATTACTCTTTACTTCTACTTTATTATATTAAGTTTAATGAGAATAAATTTGAGAGAAATATATTCTGAATTTAAATTAAATATTTTATTAATTAGTCATTGAAAATATTTTAACTTAGCTTTAAAGATTTTTTTAATTTTAAATAAAATTGTTCTATACCAATTAAAGATTCTTTTTTAGCTCATTTTTTATTTAATACTCATTAATCAAAAAGTCAGAATCATAAATAGTCATTTAAAATGTTAAAATTTGAAAAATAAATCTTTACTTTAGTAAATTAATTTAAAATTTATTATATTTGGTTATACAATATCTAAAGACTTGAAATCTCAATCTCATAGTTGGAGGCATATGCCAATTACCACTAAGCTTGCTTTAGCTCATCCCTTCAAGCTTGAAAAATCATCTTGTCCTCCAAGAAATTTCATGAATATGAAAATCCAAATTCATTCACATATTTAGTGCATTATGTATATTTCAAATCCATGAATTTGCATTTAAAAGGGTTCATGAATGGATTTGAAGGGGTGGTGACTGAATTTGGACTAATTAGGTGCAAAGTTATGTTTTTTCATTTGTCTTTTCAATTACTATAAACATGAATGTACGTTTGCTTTTCACACACAACATTTGAATGAAATTTTAGATTGAATTTAATCTCTCTCAAGCTTTAAGCTTTCTTTGTATTCTCGTTTGCTTTTCAAACACAACATTTGAATGAAATTTTAGATTGAATTTAATCTCTCTCAAGCTTTAAGCTTTCTTTGTATTCTTGTGTTGGAATGCATATTTTAGAACTTTCAATCTAGTTTAATCAATTAGGTTGTAGGCAGTTCAAAATCTTGAATATAAGAACAAATTCTCCTTTATTCTTGATCTTTGATCATATTTTTCCAAGTAAAATCTGTTTAACGTTCTTGAAGTTGGTTCGTCAATTAATTATTGGGTTATTCTAGGGTTCACCTTGAGAATAAGGGAGTTATCAAGCATAATTGAAGTATTGCTCAATGACAAATATATGGAGCCTTGTGGCATCACCTACCATAAAGTCTTGCGTTCGAGTCCTACACTGAAGACTATGTTGCTTAGCCCAGATAACGAATTGGGATATACTAACGTAAGCTACACCACATCGAGTCTAGGAAATTAAAAAAATAATAAAAAGTATCATTTACTTTAATGAGAGTGAAAATTTGAGAGTATACATTTTTTTTATTTGATAAGTCGGTCAATACTAAAGATCATATTAAGTATTCATTAAAATTTTTAGTAAACAAAATATAAATGATGAAAATTTAACTTTGAGTGAATAAAAAATTAAATGCACAATAAAGAAGTTAATAAATGTATGAAATCAACCTTTTACTTCCTTTACAACTATAAGAAAAACAAAAACAGTTTTAGCTTATTTTATTAAGATTGTAACTAGATTTATTTTAGAATTTATTTTATTATTCAATACGTCGTGCGAATTTTTCTTTTTTGTTGCTATATTTGTAAATTTATAATGATGTTGGTATATTTACAATTAATTTGACTTATTTGTCATATATGACACCGTCAAAAAATAAAGGTTATCAAGTTATAATAATTTGAAAAAGAATGATAGAGATACATACAAACAATATTAATCCAAGTGTTGAAAATTATATTTATTGATAAAGAGATATGATCTTAACCATGCTTTTATTATCTCAGTATCCCTCTCATTAATAGCCAGTGACTTATCTATACTAATAGAATATAATTAAAACATTAATCAACCTAATCCCAAATCACAATTTAAAAAACGAAAACAAGTCAAATAACAAGTATAGTCTAAATTATTTCTTACTGCAAATTCAAATTTATTTATTTTATTTATAACTTTACACTTTATTTAAAAAAAAAACAGAAACTGAAGTAAGCAAAATATGTTTTTTTTTTACATAAATATAGAAATTAAACAGACGACAATAAAATTTCAAAACTTTATTCAAAACTTTTTAAATTGTTGAAAAAAGGTGTTGAAAAGTTGTTTAAAAACTCTCGCCTTATTTCAAAAAATGAGCTCCTTTATGAGTCAAGAAAAATAAATGCAAAATAGATAATCTATTAAATAAATTACATGAATTATTCATTTGTTATAAATTATACCAACTACAAGTTCTTTATTTTTCTTTTTTGAGTAATTGTAGTAATAAAAATGGAGTTATATTCCAAGTTCAAAAAGATAATGGCTTAAATTAAAAGAATGGAAATTCAATCGTAACAAGCAACCCATCTTTAAGCAAGTTTCTTCTGAAAATAGTTAACTATTACCTAACAACAATTAATTCAGAAAGCATTAAAAGAAAAACAAACCAGCAAATTTATATTTTAATCTCTTTATTTTGTTTTCAAATAAATTATTCTACCAAATAAGATTTTCTACTGAAAAGATGTTTTTAAATGGAAAAATAAAAATAGAAAACCATTTTTAAACCTACCCTATTGAGATATGTTACCTAAAATAATCAACTCAATTATAAATCAAGATAGCCTATATGACACATCCATAAATAGCAAAACTTGAGTGCTCGATGACAAGTTTAAAGATGACAAGTTTAAGTGGGAAGAGTATCTCGACCCTACTTCGAAGAGAGTGGATTGAGACTCCCCAACAAGCAACCAAACATCAAGCAGATCAACACAGTATGCCACTGTCGAGCAAGTAGCTCGACGTGGTCAGGCAAAGCAAGTAGCTCGATACGGTTATATACCACAGTTGTAGAGTCATCATATAATCAGAAACCGCAACGATAACAGCACAAAAGAAGGGAGGATAAAACAAGGTTCAATTGTTTTTGTATACTTTGAGCTAGCATTGTATGAGATAAGCATAAGAAAAGTGAGGAGAGAGGAATGGAACAACTCACCCCAGTAGACGCTGTTAATAGTTGCAGAGTACTATCACCCTATAAACCAGTATCTTCACTTTTCACCGTAGCCTTGACCCGACCCAACCCTCAACTTGACTGCTCTTTTGCATCTTTTGAACCATGAGGCGAATACTTCTCCATCAGCCGAGTTAATTCTGCATTGAACTCTTTCTCGAGCTCAACTTCTTCCTCCCAGTGTCGTCGTTTCATTTCTGCTATCTTCTCTTCATGGTTTTTTATTAGCTCTTCCCTCTCTGCTACAAAATCTTCCATCTCTTCATCTTGAAACTTAATGAACTTAGCAACGTCCTCCGCCCTAAGCCAGAAATTAAAAAGCATCAAGTAAAACTACGAAGTTTCTCGCAGCATAGTGTTCTCGAAATCCAATATATCACAACACAAGAACGTACCTGCTTCTGTATTCATCAGCATTCGATTGCCTTACATTTGTTTGCTTTACCTCCTCGCGTTTCTCTTGCTGCAGCCTTTCGAAATTATCTTCTTTTTCATCTCTCGTGGCGTGCAAGAGTTTGATTTGTTCTTTAAAAAATTGCTCTTGCAATTCCATCTTCATAAGCAGGACAAAAAAAACTCTCATTAGTCACAAAGAACAGACATATATTACCTTTTCTTGATACGAGAACATGCAGATTACTCAAGAATCTTATCATCAATAGTTCTTGAAAACACGCACATAAGGGACAACATTCACAGGGGTTTCAAGAATAAATATGTATGCAGTGATCATGTGTCAGTGAAACATATAAGAATACTGATTGCAGTCAAGAGAGAGTGATTTAGAAGTGACATCAAGTTTATATATGACGATCAAAACTACCGCATATAATACATACCATGTTCAAGATTCAAGAACATATAGACCTCTTACTGAAACCTATTTTAATCTCTAAGACTCCCAGTTGAAAAGGCATACCTCTTCTTTGTTTTCTTCATGTTGCATGAGGGTTCTCTGTCTCACAATCCTATTTTCCTCTTTTGTTTTGCGGAGCTTTGCACTGACTATATCAAGAGATTCTTGGTAGGTCTTTGCCTTGTTTCTTTCTTTTACGACCTTGTTCTTCAACCAGATAAGCTGCTGGTTGTCCTCGCTCATTTGCTTCATCTGGTTTACCACCATCTCTTGGTATGATTTCATCTCAAACTTCATCTTAGATTTGCCTATTGAATAATTTTAAAGATCACAGTTGAAATAGAACTTCATAACGTAATTGCAATAGCACATTCCATGAAAATAAAAAGACTCGAAGACTTAAAATGATCTATAAAGACAGTAACAGACAGTAACAAAGATGAGAGATGAAACCTTGCATATGTTGGTTAAAAAAGTCAAGGTCTTCTTTTGTCGCCATAAAACCATAAAGTTGGCGTTTCCCGCCTGGATAGAACAAAACCCTCCTACGATCCCAAGCATTTCTATCTGTTCCTTGCTCAATGAAATGCTTGTGCAGACGATCAGCCTCAAAATAACCCCTTGCTGAGGTCTCAAAGATTAAAACACTCATCCCACGATGCCCCTGGGGACCATATGAGTGTCGAGCCTTTGTAGCAGGATATGAACTGAAGTACTCAAGAAGTTCCTGGTTTCCCATGCCGGTCCACTGCAATCATCACGACAGGGAAAGTGGGAAAAGAATGACAACCAGCTCGGGTAACAAGTATAATAGCATATAAGATAACAACTGCATTGGAAACTTAATTCACTAATCTGTCCTTTCTTCAAGCATCTGATAAGAAAACATACCTTGTCATTATCATCCTGCTCAAGCTTTGTATTCATAACAATAACCATAGGAGGCCAAACTATCTCGTGGTCTTTCTCCTCATCTTTCAAACCTTTCCATTTACCAAATTGTTCCCCTGCAGGAACAATAGATGCTCCCTTCCGCTGCAATTCCTCGTCCAGAAGTTCTGCTAGCTCTCTATGCAGCTTCACCCTTTTAGATCCTTTTGTTTTGGCATGTGTCACCAAGGGTTGCAGGCCACGGTACCAGTCAATGGCACCAGGGCCTCCTTGGCATGCTGGACAATGCCACTGCCTGGCAGGTTCATTAATTTCCTCAACCGTCAAACTATCCAAAATCTCAAAGAACTTCTTAAACCATCTAGTCTTCTTTCGAGTTTCAAAGCTCTTTTGACTCGCATCGGAATCAAACTCGTCACTTAACACATCATCATCACTATCCTCAAGATCATCAGAATCATCATCATTATCGTCAATATTGTCATTATCGTCATTCTCATCACTCAGATATGAGTTTGAGTTATGTTCATCTTGATGTTGGGCATCTTCCAAAACCTTATTTTGACTGGCACCCGCCCTAGATGGCCAATTCCAGCCATTCTCCAGGGGAGGGCGAATAACAGGCGGTGAAGTCCTATAACTACTCTCTGAAGCCCTGGGTTGGATCCCTCTTCCAGCCATCGTCCTAGCGGATTGAGCTTGCCAACTCTTACCAGACGCCTTTCCTCGTCCACCACCACCATTGCGTGTGCCAGACGTCTGAGCCACCTCTGTTGATTTGGGACTAGAATTCGGGGCACCCCATTGTTTAGATGCATTCGGGCCAGCTCTCCTGGACTTTTTAGCATAAACTTCCCAATCACCATCTGCCTGTCCAGGATCCAGGCTAACATCGGCTACACCCCGACTCAAATGATCTACTGTAGTGGTAGAAATCCCAGAAACATTGCTCTTATTGGTGCCTGGATTTAAAGGCTTCCCACGCCCTCTGGTTGAACTCATTTTTTATGCAACCTGTACAATATTGTACAAATGAAACTCAATCAGACAAATTTTTCTATAAGCAGTGACAGCAAAAGACGCATACGAAACCACACGATCCTTGGCTGAAGTCCCAAAATAACTTTTCCAGCCATTAACAAGATGAAGCAGATATTAAACCAGGCGCACAAAAAGAAAAATAATAATGAACAATAAATATTAGAAACCTAAAACACGTTCGAGGTCAAGGATCAAGAGCTAACACATTCAAGTAATAATAAATGACGCCGAAAAATGCATTTCGGATTCCTGAGTTAACGGCGAACAAGAAAATATAATCTGTCAACAGAGTCCAGAAGCAAGGGCAAAAAAGAAAAAAGACAATAAAAGATGATTCCGAGAATCGAAAGCCATGCAGCCCGCGGAACGGGAATAGATTCTCAGAATAACATAAAATCCACACAGGCTTCCATTACATATGAGATTTCGCTTTCTTTCGCCTCAGGTTTTCAAACACTCAAACAAAACTTGATCGAAACATACAAGGTTGTAAAGAAATCCATTAAAACGATGAAATGCCCAAGAAATCACAGATGCTTCCATGCTAAGGGAACCAAGAAACCAAAACACTGGGAGAAAAAAGACACTCCGTGATTGCACGATAGAGAGTGGATACAGAGAGAGTTACAGTAGTACTTGAGCGATTGTCGCCGGAAACGGAATCCAATGTCGGAAAAAGTGAAGCCGGCGAAGGAAGACGGCAGGCTATCGCGGTGTGAGACGCCGGAAATGAAGCAAATAGACAAGCGAAAAGAAAAGACTGAGAGTGACCGGCGAGAATAAACGGAGGACCAGCAAGACCTTTTAACCTCGTCTCATTTGTACGGACGCGGACTCCAAATAATTCTTGAATACAATTCAATTCCTAAATGGTTTGTTTGGTGTGATATTTTTTAGGTTTAAATATTACTTTATTCTTTAAGACTTCCTTTAATTTAGCCTCTTTTCTTTTAAAATACCAACGCTTTATCGACATGAGCCTAAAAGTAATTAGTGCATGTTCCTGACGGGGAGGTTATGAGTTCGAATTCCCCAACTCTCACTTGTTCTACTACAAAAACATTATCATTTTGGTTTTATAAAATTTTATACATCGTGTAATCTTTCAATCTAAATTTATAGCTACATTTCAATCAAATTAGTGAGTGAAGCGCGGTGCTAAAATTTTGGTTGAAATATATTGATCAAAATGAAAATAGAAATCACCAAAATATTCACTTTTTTTAAATATAGGAACTAAGATATACATTTTGAAACTAAAGAGACGAAAATTAGCAAATGATGAAAGAATATATAGACAAAAATAAATGGCTATTTAATCTTAAAGGTCTTGACTATTGGATGGGAACAAGTTCATTTTCGAAGTTTCTTTTTTTCCCTTCTAGTGACAAAAGTCGAATGTAGTGTGACCAAACAAATTTTTCTCCTCCTCTTTTGAAGCTTCCTTCAAGCATGTCGTGAGAGCAGCGAATACTGTCGCTCATATTATGGCTTCTACTGCGGCGTCTTCTGATGTAGGCACGTTGTGGACTTCTCAAATCCCTAAAGCTAAAATGAATGTGCTTGAACCTATTGTAGCTCAGGTGACATCTCCGTTGATTTAATGAAATTTTATTTTTTTCTCTCAAATTTTTTTTATTATCTAAATTTTAGTAATCTGCAAATTTATCTTTAACCAATTTTAACATTCATTTATACGAAGATATAATTGATAAATGTTAAGATGTAAACGGATTATATTGAAAAAATATTTAAATATTAAAGACTAAAATATATTTTAAGCTTTAAAATAATCATTCTACCCCGTAAACTTTGAGCATAGTCTATTTTAGAGTTTGGTTGATAGTCATTTTGGGTTTTCTATTTTAATATTTTATTTTAAAAAGAATTGGGAAAAACTAAGAAATCAAGATATAACTTTATTTATAATTATTTTTATATTTTTAATAACTTTCTCTTAAATTTGACATTAAACGTTTTCTTTCCTTTGAAAGGGTGATATTAAATACTTTTTATGCTAAAATATAAATTATATATAATTATTACACGTAAACACGATGTGAGAATTCGAATATGCTATTAAGAGTGAATTTGGTATTTTTTAATATTTTTTAATAATCATCACTTATTTTTTTCACTAAAGTGTTTTCTGAAAATTATATTTTAAAACAATTCCATTTTTAAAAAATATTTTATTTGTAAAAAAACACTGAAAATTTTTAAAAAGCATATTTAATTATCCAAAAACCACTTTAAAAATACACTCTAAACTAGTAATCTATATCTATATCTATACTATATTAAAAATGTAGGATGTAGGAAAAACATTTTTGGACACTTTTGCCCTTTACTAACTTTACAAATTTACAAATTACGCCATTAATATATTATTACAAATATTAAATTAATTATTAATTATCAATACTATAAATGCATGAAATATAAAAGGTTAGAATGCAAAAAGTTTTCCAACAACATAAAATTAATTTTTTCTTTAAATAAAATTCATACTAGAATTTCAAGAGTTTTAGAATTTGAAAAGCTTTTGTAACGTTTTATCCTCTACTACTATAAAAATAGGCTTTCTTCTACATGTTTTTCACAAGTTTCAATACTTTTTTATTCTTAGTTCCTTGAAACATCTCTCAAAGATGATTCAATCTTGAAAACATCTAGAGATATTTGTGACATATTCATCAAGTTGCAAGAGAGGCATATGTTGAATCTACATATCTCGAATACTAGGTTTGTGACATTACCATTCCACAATTTTACAAAGTTGAATAATAGTATCTGTCAAGCAATGTGAGCATATTTACTCTAAAAGATGAGTGTATAGTAAGTACTTGGATTTTTTTTGTTACTATTGTTATTTTTCTAATTAGTGTGTTTTTTATTTGGAATGATTCTTTTTTTAGCCATTTTATTTAGTTTAGGATTTGGATTTTTTTTTTGTTACTAATGTTTTTTATTGTTTAGTGTATTTTTTTTTATTTGGAATGTTTTTTTTTAGCAATTTTATTTAGAATACTTGTTTAAAATATAGATAATTACAAGCTCATGTTCTTATTGTTGAAAAAAAAAAACAATCATAGAAGTCAATATATAAAAAAAATGTTTAATTAATAAATTAATTATAAACAATAATTTGTATAGAATCGTAAAAGGTGGAATATAAAACTTTTGGTCATTTTATTTTCTAATAATAATTTGAAGAGTTTTTCTTTAATAATTTTAATTATAATATAAAATTAAATCAATAAAATAATTTATATTTAGCTAAAAAATTCAACATATATAACAAAATGTCAGTCCTAAATAAATATTTAATAAACAAACAAAATATTAAAAAAATAAAATAAAGGACCAAATAATTCAAAAATAAAATATTAAAATACCTATTTACTTTTTTATTAATATATAATTTTTTCCTTTACTTTTAATTTATTTATTTACAAAATATATCATTAACAATTAATTATAAATAGTATATTTAAAAAATAATTATAAATAATACATTTTATTATTAGTAATTAGCTGTCAATAATAATAAATATATATAAAAATTAATCTTAATTATTTTTTAAAATAATTATACTTAAAATATTTTACGTGAAATTATATAAAATTTAAGTTACCTTATAATTAAAAAAAATTTATACGTGCACATGGTAATACACTAGTTATTCTAAAATGATTCGTCGAAAGAATAATTCTATTTAAAAAAATATTTTTAAAGAACCCTTCCAAACACTGTAAATTATTTTCGAATATGATGATTATTTAATATATTTAAAACTTTAAAAAACATTAAAGACATGAGATACAGATATCAAACTTCTTTACAAAACACATTATATTATTTTGAAAAAATCGAGTACTTGGGATTGTTATTTGCRAAAATTATATTTTGAATTTTGTTTTTATCTCTAATTTTCGCTCTAATTTTTCTACTCTTTTATATTTTTTTTTAACATATCTTTTCCTCTCAACTTTATTTTTTTCTCCAAAATTTTTTCTCTTTTTGTCTAATTTTTGTTTCACTATTTATTTTCTAAATATTTTTATTTATCTCTCTAAAATTTATCTTCCAAAAATTTATTTACATCTCTATTTTCATGTCTCTACATTAGGAAAAGACAAAAATTTCCACAGAGTCGGGTCCCAAAAATAGAAAATGCATGTCCTGATCTCGTCCCTGTCCCCGATTCCATTTTTAAATAATTAATATATATTTATTACACGTTTTTTATACTTAAATTCTAAAAATAATTAAAAACAATTATAGAACCGATAATTTTTCTCGAGAACATCTCTCGGACCCAAGAACTAGGTGGAGACGGAGACTAAAAATTTTCACGAGCCCGAGAATGGGGGAGAGCATTCTCACTTGCACTCACACCATTGTGATCTCTACTCTACATAAAATTTTCTGTATTTTCAATTTTCTAACTTTTTAAAAACAAAAAACTAAAAATGGTTATCAAACATGCTTTAGTTTTTTATTTTTTAAAAACAAAAAATGATTATCAAACGTATATGGTTTTTGTTTTTTAAAAACAGAAAATCAAAAATCAAAAACTAAAAATAAGAAAAACCAAAAGGTAAAATGGTTATCAAAACGGGTCCTAAATGTTTTAGTATACGAAGTTTCTTTTTACCTAAAAATATGATTTGAAATAATATTATTGTCGGTGATAACAAATAATGGAAATCATTTATTTGAAATCATGAAAAAACAAACCGACCATAAAAGTACCGACCATTTTATATATTTAGTTTTGTGTAATCACTAATTTATTGTGGTCATTAATATAAGCTATATTTGAAATTATTTGTTTAGGTTATATTTTTGTAATAATTCATGTACGGATTTTGTTATTACCCTTTCATTTTATCCGATAGATTTAGATTTACTCTTTTGTCCAATATCGTACTAGCTAAATCATCATGTATAAGTCTAATTTACCTTTATATATCGATATTTAAGTAATAATATTAATGACAGTCTGAATATTGTTCAGTCACATATATATTCAACCAATAAAAATTAAAGATTCGAATCTCCCGTCCATTAAAGATTTAGAAATATGAAAAAAAATTAATTTATAAATATACAAACAACCATACACTCCCATTTTCCAACAAAGTAAACTAAAATAATCGCAACCCTTTTGGAATATTGTTGAACTTGAAACAACCTTGTTTGGTTTTATATAGATGTTTTTATAGAGAGGATAGGGAATGGACGGGGATGAGGAAGGATTTTTTTTCATCTCCATCCCCACCTCATTTAATTCTTCATCCTTGCGAAATTTTTGAAATTTTGTAGGGATTGAGGCAGGGATTCTCCACCAGAAATTTGTGGGGATCGGATTCCCGATAGATAATTACTCTCGTTTATTTTTTTAAAAAAATTATTTTTCAACTAAATAATTTTTTAGAGAAATTTCTATTTGTTACATAATTTCCAATTATAAAACTCTATTTACATGGAGAACATATTGTCCCGGTGAAACTCTTCCCCCTCCCTTCCCAATTCCTATGGATAAAATGGACATTCCTGCTTGGACTTGTAATTGGTCTTTGAACGGTGACTCTTTGGAGAGCAAAAAAATAGATTTTTAATTAAATATTGTTACTTTTAAATTTGGCAAGTTKTATCAATTTTCCCATAAACTTTCCATTTTGTTAAATTGTACTTTAGTCTTAGCAAAAGTTTAAAATATTGATGTCGAGGTCTCGATTTTACAAAAATGTCAAACTTCAATAAAAATTTCTTGGAAAAACATGAAA